CCTCATTTTCAGTTTCCTGTATGTGATTTTCTGTTGAAGATCTCTTGTACAAAACACGTACGTTTTTCTGCAGATGAAAATCCAAGGACAAATGCCTTAGGATTCTCTCTGCACTGTACATGCAGTATAGCATTTTGATTCTTCTTTCCACTTTACAAAGTACTCAACTGACCTCACCATCTCCTCTTCTTGATGTGAATCGTGTTCCAGAAGGGACATGTGTGCTGGCACTGGGCTCCTGTACAGAAGTTATATCATCATTAGAACTGATTGCTCAGAATGGAGTTTGTTCAAACATTATTCAAAACATTTACCTCTTCCCCTGATGAATGGTCAGACACTGTCTTCATCAACTACATCACATGGGTCAATGTCTCATTGGTCAGACACAGGTTCAAGGGTTATGACATTCCCTGCAACTGACCCAGCAAAGAAAAAAAGATATATCATATTGAAACATTGAAAATTAATATATATATTGTTAATAGAAAATAACCACCCAGGGGAAAAAAAAACATATATGGAAATTGTACCACAGGTCCTCTGTGACTGCACCTATGGCACCTGCAGACCACAAATATATGCAATGGTCATCCTGTACCTGAAATGAAGTAACCGCTGCTGCATCCTGCCACTGGCTCCGACGAGGAGCTTCCCCCTTCAATTCCCTGAGACACAGGGTGATGGGCATTCTGCTGGAGAGCCAGCTCTTCAGCGGGGGTTAGGTCTGGACGGACCTCCACCAATTTTTTTTTGTCTGCCTTCTTTTTTTCCGCTTTGTCAGGAATTTTTTCTTTTTACACATCAATATACATAGATGGATACACACATCTATCTAATTATTAGAGTATGTGTATATCATTATGCATACACACACACACTTTATGAGATGTCATATTTACCAGTTTGAAGTATATTTTTGTACTTCACTTTAACTTGTTCCCCTGTCCTGATCGTGCTTATGTTTGATCTGGAATTATAACGATTAAATGATGATTCATGTGAGACATTGGACCAGTAACGCTGCATTCAAGGAATATGATAATTGCCAGTAATACAATAATTGCAAACTACTCACGCATTTAATTTGTCGGCCACTTTTTGCCAGCCGTCTTATCTGGTTTGTGCCGCTTTTTGTGGTGTTTCCTTTGGTGCTAATTAAGTTTTTGAACTCCTCATATCCCTCCAGTATAAGGTCCTGCTCGCTTTGGGAGGAGAATTGTGCCCTTTCTTTCGTCATGTTGCAGGAGCCAATGAGAGACTTGCCGATCATGTTTTCTAGACTCGATGTACATAGGCTTTTCGAGCAGCGCAATCATCTCGGATGATTGGATCCAGCTAAGCTAATCTACTGTACTCGTGAAGTGCGTTTCAGGAACCAAATTAACCGGATGATTTTCACCGGCATTAATTGATCCAAGATGAAGCTTCTGATCTTCGATGATTTAAGCGACGTACGGAGAATACCCCCCTGGTGTAAATTTCATGTCAATAGATCCTTTAGAAATATATTTACTGAGAAAAATGTTGATGCGTTCAATACTTATTTTACCCGCTGTAAATTATTAAATTTATATTTTTCCCCCAGAAGAGTAGTATGTGGATCATTCCAGAAGTGAATATGCACTTTGTTTTCCATCTAATGTGAATAATATTGATGTTTCATGGATTATGGGTGCATTTTGGCAGAGAACGTTTAAAATATATGCCTCATTGTGCACAACATTATTCTGGAATACTTTAGCGCACAATGTTGCGATTTATTTCTGTGCGTTATACCTATCCAAAGTATAACTACAAATGAATGGGTGAGAAAATCAACGCATTTTGTGTTTGTCATGTTCTAAGAGTTAATCTATGTTTTTTTTTCCTGTTTTTCTTTTGGTCCTGTTTTTTTGAGCTTTCCCCCAGTGTCCTTTGTTTAATTCAATAAACACTTGTTTGTCTCTGAGCCACAAGTGGATCATCTCAGATTAAAAATGTGTGTACCATAACACTTTGCACAGTGTAAAACCACCTTTCAAGAAAGTACTAAAAGTGCAGAAGGTTAGTTTCGCTAAACTAATTTTACTCTCTTACTCTGTCATAAGAAAAATAAAACTTAGCAAGCTTTGCCAGGTTAATTATTAATCCCTTTATAGATTATCTATTATATGTTTAAAAATCAGTTTAAAGCATTCTCCGAAACATTCATAATCATTTTCATCCTTGCTGTTTAAATCATTCAAAGACGGGTTTATGTTTTCTAAATACCCCAATATTTATTACATCAAAATCACATTGCTAGGACAACTCGTTATATGTGTGCTCCCCTAGTATGTTAAACAAAATACTTGTTTTCTGAGTTTGCAACTGTTTTCAAGGTGGCGCTTATATTATGTTTCAGAGGCAGGCTACTTGCATAACCAATAGACAAAGTCTTGTCCCACCCCAAGTACCGAATTACTTTGTCACTTTTGGTACTGGTACTTGACTGGAAGTCAGTGGATAAGCGAAAACACCAAAACCACCATGCCAAAAGTATGGTATTTGGTGGGGTGGAAAAGCACCTTAAGCGTGTGGCAACGTGGTCAATAACAGGGTTACTGCAAAAAACATTCTACTGTTACTACTGCAGGCAAGTACTGCAGCCACTCAACGAGAAGTCCAGGTGGCTATGTAAATGCATGGATGCACGCATGGATGACCACAGCAGCAATAGCAGAATTGTGTTAATGAGTGAAGACCGATGTTTGGAAAATGGAATAAACACTTTTTTTTTTATTTCAGGAACCTTAAGCATCAATTTCTTCGACTGCCTAAAACGTTTGCATAGTAATGTGTATATAAATTGCTTTGCATCCAGAGCTTCTGGGATAGACTCCCCTGCGACCTAGTGTAGGACAAATGATTATAGAAAATGGTGGGCATAGAAGACCAGTGCCTCTCAAGTGAAAAAGGTTTATTGAGGAAACTCTATAAATAGGGCATCCAGTATTCCCTGTGCAAGCAGGAAGTGGCATTCTTTTCTGGGTGATCAACCTCGGATATCCACCTAAAGTACACACACAAAACTGGCTTCCCTTTTTCTTCTGCTGTGGCTTCTTTACAGATTAGGCTTTAAGCCCAGCCGGGGATGACTCCCCAGCCCCCTGATTGGGGCAATCTTTAATTGCCAGCCGTGCCCCATTGGCTCTTCTTGAAGTCGACAGTGAGGATACCGTGGTTATTGTTCACCTGCATGGTGCTGACCACTCCCTACTGGACCATAACAGCTGTCATATCACAACATACATTCTGTAACAATAAGAGCTACTTCTTTAATAGGTGAAGCACAAAACACATTGTCAGACTTGTTTTTATGAAACAGTGATGCATTACAGAAATCAGTGAATGTTCACAAATATACATGATGAGCCACAGGAAATGATCTATCTTGTGTTATCTGTTTTGCTTTACCTGTTGTTCTGTTTCACAAAGAAGGCCTCTTTCTCTTCCTCTTACAGCTGCCAATGTAACACTAGGGCAGGAGGTGCATTACTTGATAAGTTATCTGACACAGGGGTTTCATTGTCCCATTCCAATCTTGTTTGTGTGAGAATGACAGCATTGATCTTCCTGGATGCGATACAGCAAGGGAAAGACACACACACACATATATATTTACAGTGATTCCTTGGTTTGCGAGCATAATTCCGGAAACGTGCTTATAATCCAAAGCACTCGTATATCAAAGTGAATTTTCCCATAAGAAATTATGGAAACTCAGATGATTCATTCCACAACCAAAAAATATTCATATAAAAATGATTAATACAAAATATAAAGTAAAAATACATAAAACAAATTAACCCGCACTTTACCTTTGAAAAGAATCGTGGATGGTGAGAGGGAGACGAGAGAGAGGAGAAGAGGAGGGTTATTTTGTAGTATGACTTTCACTATAATGGAATCACTGCTATCTGTGTGCTCATTGGAATCTTTTTCTTTTTGTGCAACTTTAACAAGGAAACTATCCAATGACAGCTGCTTTTGTCTCCTTTTCAATTTCACAGAAATGTGGACATTGCATTGTCGTTAAACAGATTCATTGGTCCACTGCTACGGCCTTATTCGGATGACGCTTTTCTACTAAATTTTGACTATATGAGTGATGGACGCCGACTAAGAACAAGCATGGCAGACGATTACCCACAATCCTGCAGCGACAGAGAGAGAAGAACCATCGGCTCAATTGTGATCACGTAACGCTAGGCAGACAAAGCGTATACATAATACTCGTATTGCAAGACCTCACTCATTTATCAAGTTAAAATTTATTTAAAAATTGTGCTCGTCTTGCAAAACACTTGCAGACCAAGTTACTCGCAATCCAGGGTTTTACCCTATATACTGTATGTCATGGAGATCAAGATGAGATATACAAAAACTACCCAATTTTCCTATGGGATAAGTAAAGTATCACTATTCTGTTCATTAATATTGATAGTTCTTTGGATATTGTTTACTGAGCTGTATGAAGAAAATAAATTAAAGAACTCAGCTCATTGCACACAAACTTCAAATTAGGTTACATAATGTTACTTTAGTATTTCTAACTATACTATTTTTTCTGTATTGTGCTGTAAAAATTACACAAAGCAATACATAAAAATAATTTTCATCATGCATATGTATTTAACTACATTCTATAAAAATGTTATTACCTTTTCATTACAATATTTATATTGTAGGATCACACATGCACATACCACAGGGCCTAAATTCCAGGTGGCCTGAGACAAGACCGAGCCTGGTACGAGAGGCACCA